AAGAGTGATAAATTGGCGGGTATGATAAAAGGAATTAAAAAACAATTATCAGACATGGCAAATGAGGAGACAGAAAAAAAAAACTGAGATTCACAAAACAAATATTTTATGAATCAGGTCCCAAAGCAACCAAAATATTAGCAAAAAGATTAAGATCACAGCAAATAAGGAACTCAATTAACAAAATCAGAGATCCAGAAAGTAATGTCATAACATATGAACCTGAGGAAATAAAAAATATTTTTCATAAATATTATAAATCTCTGTATAATCATTCGGAACAAGTAGATAAAAAAAGAAATTGAAGATTATTTAGCTGAATTAGATCTCCCCTCCACAGGAACCACTCAAAATCGATTATTAAATTCACCCATTACTAAAAAAGAACTGGATAATGCTATCAGTAGATTGAAATGCAAAAAAAGCCCAGGTACAGATGGCTATCTTAACGAATGGTACATCAATTGTTGGACAAACCTTGCCCCTCAATTGTTGGAATCTTTTAATTGGACACTTAAACATGCAAAATGCCCTCCCTCATGGAAAGAGGCCATGATAACAGTCATACCAAAGGAAGGTAAAAATAAAGAGTTATGCGAGTCCTATCGTCCAATTTCCATTTTGAATGTTGATTATAAATTATTCACGTCTATAATCGCTAGAAGATTAGAAACCTTCCTCCCTGACCTGATAGAGGAGGACCAGACGGGTTTTATAAAAGGTCGCCAAAAACAAGATAACATTCGGCGCATGTTACATATAATCAACGAAGTCAATAAACAGAACACTCCTACAGCCTTAGTAAGTCTTGATGCGGAAAAGGCTTTTGATAGGGTCTGCTGGAATTTCCTTTTTGCGGTTTTGAAAAGAATGGGTTTTGATAAAATGATCATTAAATGTATACAGGCTCTATACGATAAACCAGTGGCTAGAATTAAAATAAATGGTAACTTAAGAGACAGATTTGAGCTCTTTAGAGGGACAAGGCAGGGATGCTGTCTGAGCCCCTCCCTATTTGCCTTGTTTATAGAGCCCTTGGCTCAGTATATAAGACAAAGTAAAGAACTTAAAGGAATCACAGTTGCTAAGGATGAACATAAATTAGGTCTCTTTGCAGATGATATTATCATATACCTCAGTAATCCAGATTATACGATTGCTAAACTTTTTACGATACTAAAAGATTTTGGAGGGAAATCAGGGTACAAGTTAAACATCTCAAAAACCCAAGTTCTTTGTATAAAATACAGACCAGCTGACTCAATCAGACGGGCTTACAAATTAAAATGGGATTCAGAAAAAAATAAATATTTTTGTTGTTTATCTGACTAGAGAACTAAATACATTATATGAGGCTAATTATAATAAGATTAATGAAGCTATACAAAAAGATTTGACAAAATGGGCAACACTAGTAATGGATTTAAGCTCAAAGATAGAGGTGATAAAAATGAACGTGTTGCCTAGATTGCTGTACTTATTCATTTCATTGCCAATTTGTATACCAAAAACGCAATTTGATAAATGGGATAAACAAGTAAGCACATTTATTTGGAAGGGGGAAAGACCAAGAGTTAAGTTTAAAACTCTACAACTAGAGAAAAAAAGACGAGGACTTGCTCTTCCTAATTTTAAAGAATATTTCCTGGCTGCCCAGTTAAGATATATAATCTATTGGTGCTCGTCAGAATATTACTCCAAATGGTAACACATTGAACTTAACTACGGAACTTGCCAACCACAAACGAGGTTGGGTGAGAAAACATCTAACCAACCTATAGAACCAAATCCTATAGTAGACACAACAATTAAGATTTGGTGGGATATAACGAATAAATACAAATTGGAGGGCAATTGTAAATTGTTGATCTGGCCATTGTACTACAAAATTCAGAAGTGGACAGATGGATAGCACATTTACAAAATGGACAGACAAGGGAATCACCGGACAAGGGCCTGTTAACTAAAGATGATGTTAAAGAGGAAGACATTTATCTACTCAAAGTGATGCTGACAGCAAGTAAGAAAGTTATAACGAGGAATTGGTTAAAAAGTGATCCTTTGAATCTGGACCAATGGAGGAATACCATGGAGGAAATATGCGCAATGGAAAAAATGACCCACGACCTGAGACTGGAAGCACATAAATGTAAAACACGATGGTTGAAATGGACTTGTTATGTAACTCATTCAAATGTATGAAACAAATGGAAGACCTGTATATGTAGCACCCTACTAGTTGTTGCTGTTATTTTTATTTTTGTTTGTTTGTTCATTGTATAAATTAAGAAATGCAAATAAAAAAAAATGTTTTTTTTACTTTTTGTATATAAAGCTCTTAACAATTTGGCCCCTCAGTACTTGCTCTGCTCTGTCCGTACACTCCGACTCGTACCCTGAGATCCAGTGACTACTGCCTTCTAATCGAGCCTAGAACCAGACTCAAAAAACGAGGCGACCATGCTTTTGCGACTGCTGGTCCAAAACTCTGGAACAGTCTGCCTGTCTACATCAGACTGGCTCCCTCAGTTTCTCTTTTTAAATCTTCTTTAAAGACTTATTTATTTTCTCTCGCTTTTAATTCTCCCTGATTGTTAATTGATTATTTTTACTGTCCTGTGCATTATTTTTTTCTGCTTTGTAAAATACTTTGGTCAGCCCTGGCTGTTTTTAAATGTGCTCTATAAATAAATATTGTATTGTATTGTATCAAGTAAAATGGTATTAATACAACACACTAAATTTGATATATATATTGGTTAGTAAAATAGAACGTAATAACATCATGGATAATCTAACCAGAATAGGAAATCACGACATACCATCAGGTTTTGGTCCAGTATATAATTGACAAACATTATGTTAATGTCGTTGAGAATCTCCATCATTTCTAAAGTTCTGTCAACATCATTTTCATATTCTCTCGACTTCACATTCAGCTCCGTACATACGTCCGCAACATACGTAAACATGCACAAAACATCAATAATACCAATATCGCTTTGTGATTCGCACATCATTTCGAGAACCTCTTTTACCATTACACCGGGGGGGATCAGGTCCATTAATACATTTTTCAGTCATATCAGACCATGAATCAGACAACCCTCTTATATGTTCCATCATTTTCTTGAGATTTGCTTCGCGTCTGGTGTCTGGACTGCCTGGTTTATCGGGGTAGGTTGCATCGGAAACCATCTTGTTCATAAGATTCTCCATCTGTTCCAGATAATGTTCTTTAAACATGGATTCCATACAGCTCTTTAGGCTACAGGCAACACCCATGTTGGTGGGGTCTTGTTCACTAGCCATTCACGATTGAGAGACCCTGCCAGAGATCAACAACGTCGTAGACAATGGCCTTGCAGGGTTTGTCCAAAAGTTTAACCCTGATTTCTTCTAGCTTAGCAGCGATGAAGGGCTCGACTTTAATTCGTGCAGAATAGTTCCGACTGTTCCTTGAATCCGGTGAGGATGGGATTTTAAACCGCAGCGGGTTAGGACAATCCCGATGATGAAATGCAGATTGGGTTTAAACAGTCTATTGGACAGCTCATCAAAGTAGATATCGAAGTAGTATGTAGGGGGGTCAAACAGACAGGAATGTTGTAGCTGGCTAGGGTGGTTTATCGCACACCCCTCACAGTCTTCCTTCAGCATATCTCCGATGAGATGTTGCAGCAACAGCATGACAGTGGCCTTTATGATTTTGAATCCAACTTCGGTGAAGCATCCATCCGTGGCGTCGAAACAGGGTTTGACTGCAAACTCACTACCACTACATGCATCAGACAGGAAAGTCAGGTTGCGAGCACCAAGGTCTGTGCCAAATTTATCCAGCCAGTCTTTGTGGGGGTCCGAGGTTCCAGGCGTTGTCGTAGCGTTGTCGTCAGGAGGTCCAGGAATATAGTCGAAAGAGATGCCACAACTGCACACATGAGCGTGTTCTGAAGCGACGTCTTTTTGTCGTTTTACTGTATCCGGCTTGCATGTCGCACCACTTGAACATCTTGTTTATGTTTGAAAAAATACTGCTCAGCAGAGTCACATCACACCACTTGAACAAAAATTGCATTTCATAGAACTCATAGATGTTCATTTTGACGTACGTGTCCTGAATGACTCCCGAGATTTGTCATGTCTTTACAACAGAATATGTATACGCAATCATCCATATTCTTTTTAGTATATGCATCACGGCCACTATTCATCAGAAATTCGCCTTTACACCAGTCCGTAGTTTCATGGAGAAACTTTGTCAAACTCACATGTCCATGCGGCTTTCTTGGTGCCATAGCTAGACTTTCCATCAGATCATCATTTATCGATCCCTCTGGGGATTTAGGTGAGTATAAATTGTCCATACTTTGTAAAATCAGAAGCAATGAGTGAGATTCAAGAGTACAACACATCCATTTATACAACCAACCGCTGCTCTGGAATGTGGTGGGACGAACCCATTCAAACATAAAACCTTACATCATATCAATGATTCCCTTATAATCACAAGGACCAGAGATCCCCTTCGAACATAAAATCTTACATCATATCAATGATTCCCTTATAATCACGAGGACTGAGACATACCACACCTATTATTCAATTACACACCAGGTCATACGACACAAGGTCACAACAGGGCCAAGGTCATCGAATGGACAAGTTCCACCCAAGGACGCAGGGAGGAGGGGCCGGGTCAAACACAGGGCACGGGGAGGGGCCACGTCAAAGGTCACCATCAATCATCATTAATTAAAAAGCCATTAATCACTTTGACACATGGTGGATCCTATCACTACTGTGGACAATTATTTAAAACTAGAAAAGTATGCAATATGCTACCTGCCATAAGCCAAGAAACACGACGAGGTCAAATAAAAATAAAAAATACTAAAAATGAAATCTATAAAAAAAAAGTTAATAAATAAAAAATAATTCTGAAATGAAATGTCAGCTTACTCTCAACACAAACATTTCACTACCACAATGAGCAGCCACACCTGTTCCAGGTTTTGAAGGCATTGCTTGCTCTTTTGAAGAGGTATCCCTCCATAGCTATTCCATTATCAGTGTCTACATTATATTCCAGTTTTGTGTCGTCAGTGGAGAAATCCTTGAAAATCCGCACAGAAAAGTAACAGTCAACTAACGCTGTATTGGTTCATCAAAATTGCTCAAAATTTCAGGGAAAACGTTACTGCTTTAAAAAACACAAATAAGAACATATTTGTGTCGTATTTACACTAAAGTAAATATTTTAGGACCATTAAGATTTGTTTGCACTGTGAATTTGTGATTCTTATTTATTTATCCATATGGATAAAATAAATAAATAAACAAAATAAATCAGTATAAAGGCAATATAAAAAACATTCATTATGCATACATACTTTGTAAATATTCTAAAATATTTAAACCATTTTCACAAAGTTACAATTCTGAATGGTCCTATAAAGGCTTACATTTCTTTCTGCAAAATAGAATTCCTTAGTGTCTTTGGTGAAATATACTTACACCAAAGACATGAGATCCAAAGCTATTTGTTTAAAATGGCCTACAACAATCTAAGAGAGAGAATTTTCATAGAGGTTTTACCTGCAAAGCAGCCTGATAGTGACGAAAGAAAACAGGAGTTAGATTTGTAGAGGAAGATACAGAAGACTTTTCTTAAAGTATGTGTTTTCAATGGAATTAAAATTTAGTTTCTGCTCATATTTTACCATCTGTTGGATAGTTGAGTGTTTTTGCTCCATGTCTCTTTTATCCTTTGCTGAATCCACCACCAGCTGATCCAACTGACAAAGCAAACACCCAAAAAAAAATGAGCTTCACATTTGAACACACATACAATGCATATGTACATTTTTAATTCATGCCTTTGTACCTGACCGCTGAGCTGCTTCATAAATGGTTGAAGCTGGCTAAAGAAATCATATCCTTGATGGAAAAAAGTGAGGTTGGCATTCATATAGGACAGCATCTACAAAAACAGATTATAAAGAATATATTTTTTATTCTGTAATTAAATTGTCCTTTGTAAATAATGAAGCTTATGTTAACTTTAATTTGTTGGTCTTCTAAATCTTACAGATTTTAGGATTTCCAATCTTCTTTTAGACTGAAGGACATTTATCTGAAAAGAAACAAAACTGGTATGAACAACAAATGAAAAGATGGTAAGAACAAAACACTCTACACTTAAGTCTACCATAGGCAGCTGATGTCTGTTCAATTCGGCTCTGGATTTCATTGTCGACGCTGCTATGCTCAGAGGTAAAACTACCCAGAAATTTGAAAGATGGCACTATTGACATCTTTTCATCTTCAAAAGTGAATGCAGGTAATGTGGGTGGGACATTAGTACTCCATTGGCAGACCACTTCTGTCTTGGTGGTGTTGACAGTCGTTCTGTACGCCCCCACCGCCACAGCAACGGCAGTTTGAAAATCCTCCAGAGTATGGGCATTAAAAGCACAGTCGTCTGCATACTGCAGCTCCAGGATCTGCTCTTTACAGATTTTTGTGGTTGCATGTCCCTCCTAATATTAAAGAGGTTAGCATCTAATCTGAAGTCCACTGCACCACACCAATGCTGTTTTCAATTTCATTGTGGAGAAGTTCCCCATCGCCATCAGACTTTAACTATATGTAAGGTCCAGGTATTGTCACAATGGTCAGAGATTGAGACCTGCGCAAGAAAGATTTTAAAGTGCCAAAGGGGGTGCGCCAGCCACTGTAGCACTATCTTCACCATAATGAGGTAAATCCCGATGGCAAGGGTGGTCCCAGGACAACTGGTCCCCTAACTTGGCTGCAGGAGGCTGTTGGGTCTGTTAAGGCCCACTTATTGCACACCACCAGCACAGACTAACCACAAGGCAATGGTGCTATTTGCCCATAGCTGTGGCTGTGGTTGATGGATGCCAAAGCGTGTCCACGCAGTCTCCGGGGCCCACTGCTGCTCTGAGATCCCCTGTAGTTTCGCCTGGGACCGTATGATTAGTTTCCGTGTGTTGCCCACGAGGAGGCACTACATGAATCTTGTTGGTGGAGTGGCTCTGTACTGGCAGGAGGAGGCCCACTCGGTTCCTATTTTCACCCTCTATCAAGAAGGCTAGCCAGCGGCAACAGCTGTAAGCAGAGAGTAACAAGCAGAGAGCACAGTGTGCGCCATGCAGCATGCACTAACTACCAGCACCACTACACTACGGCACAAGACGCTTCACACACACCCTGTATTGTACACATACACATTAAGCCTATAGTAATATAATATACAGCATAAAATGATAGATGGATAGATAAACAGTCAGGCAGAGACAGATCGATAGATACTATACTACAACCTAAACTGACCGACTCAGAAATGTTTTATAATAAAATAAAGGGCGCTTAACAAACCTGTAGTACATAGTCAAGGGCGATGTGACGGAAGCACTTGCGTGCTGTGGTCAGGATGTTGGTGGCCTCTTCTACCTCGTGCTGCTTGTTACGAGGCACCTGGGCATTTTTCACCAGTGCCACCTCCTTATCTTCACTCACCTTATCAAACTGCTTCTTAGCATCTTTAAACTTCTTCAAGTCTCTGCAAATAAAGGTTTCAAGAGGAGAAATGGTCCTAAAAACTCAGCAGTGTTGAAAAATGTATAAAGCATTTAAAACTTAAACACTTACTCCTTCACAAAAGCCTGAAGCTGAGACTTGATGGATCTCTGGGCTTGATCAAATAATATCTAAAAAGAAATGTAGCAAATATGAAGTACTGCATGAGTTTTCTTACAAATTAAATTACAATTTTTTTGTGAGTTTTCTTACAAATTAAAGTAGATAATACTAATATAACATCAATGTAATAAAAAAAACACTAATATACAATCTAGGGCTGGGCGATATATCACACGATATTGTTATGCGCATCTAATCAGTAAAGCCGGTTCCTTGATTAGTAGTAAATCATCTTCACCTGCTTTCAAATGGAAGATTAGAGTGTTAAATTAACACTCAAGAGTGTTAAAGTTAATGAGATAATTAAGTGATTAATTTAGTGATGATTGAGCATTATTGAAGACACCTGATGATCACAAGCAGAATCACTGAAGGACAAAATCACAAATTGTAAATCACCGTTATGGAGATCAGTGTTTGCTTTAGTTGGGCTCTTGACACTTATACTTTCATTTTAAATTTTGTTTGTCTGCTGCTATTGATTTAATAGCTGTCAAATAAGACATCTGTGATCTGATAGTGTTGATTATGTTTTGACATAATCATGCTTGATCTGAAAAATGAATTCTATTCAGGTGATTTGCTTTAATTTGTTAGTAACAGTTTTGTGGTTGTATTGGATATCTATATTTTTCTTATAACTTAAAATTTTTTATATATATTCTGATCAAATCACTCTCATCTTTATTTAGAAACACAGCTATCAATAATCAGCCTGTGTATCTCAATTGTGGTGACAAAATTAATCATTGTTGCCACCAATCACAACTCATTAATGGCTCCCATCATGCATTGCGGTTTGAATAAATTACGACCTGAATTGTCTATGTAATTTACTTTTCCTACTTGAATATTCTACTCGTCACCGTTGTTGAGAAGCATTGACTGAATCTTGAGGTCTGTGTGTGCCTAAAGGAAAGTTTTTTTTTTTTTTAAACAACTTTTGAGAAATCCGTCAATTATATTTAACATTCTGGATATTTATGCAGAATCTCAGTTATACATTAACCAACAGAAAAAATTATAGACATAAATATCGAATGATGAATATCTTTATGTAACCAACATCATTTTGTAATTGTTTATATTTGTTCATCTGACAGGTAAAACTCAGATGCAACAGCAAATTCAAATACAAAGTTTATATTATAAGGGTCAAGAGCCCAACTAAAGCAAACACTCATCTCCATAACGGTGGCTTAAAATTTTAGATTTTTTTCCTTGTGATTCTGCTTTAGGTGTCTTCAATAATGGTCAATCATCACTCATTTAATCACTTAATTATCTCATTAACTTTAACACTCTTGAGTGTGGACTCATATACACTCCAGGTGTGTTAATTTAACACGGGAGATTTTGTCGTGACAAAGAGCCGTAGTTCACTGACCAGCTGAGCCATATCGCATTAATCCTCAGGTGCTCTTCGGTCATTTCTGACCGAAAAAATTTATGTTTTGAAATGTTAAAAATCACAGCTTCATCGGAATGTTACAAAACTTGGTGACTTTTATTCCATTGGGTATGTGAACACACAAAAAAATTGAGGTCATGATCCGAGCATGCTAAGTGGTCGTAAAAAAAATAGTCACACTTGTGCTCTTCGGTCAAAAATGACCGACCATAGGAAATGAATTCGAAATTTACAAAAACACAAAAACTTTGAGAATTTTTGTGTGTACAATCTACAAATCGGCCACGATGCAGAAAAAAACTGCTCAGCATTGAAGGGGTGACACTCTAAAATATCAAGAGTGCAAAACAGACATACCCACCCACCCACACACACACACACACACACACACACACACACACTTTTATACACAAAAACACCAATAAATTGTGATTAAAAAATCTGTTTTGAATTTCTAAAAAATCACTGCTTCATCAGAAAATTACGAAACTTCGTGACTTTTATGGCAACATGTATGTGAACACACAAAAAAATTGAGGTCATGATTCGAGCACTTTAAGTGGTCGTAAAAAAATGAGATACACTTCTGCTCTTCTGTCAAACATGACCGACCACAGGAAATGAATGGGAAATTGACAAAAACAACAATCTACAACTTCAAACTACAATTTGCAATCTACAAATTGGCCATGATGCAGAAAAAAGTGCTCAACAATGAAGGGGTGACACTCTAAAACATCAAGATTGTGATATTGACACTCACCCACACTCACAAAGAGATGCACACACGCACAAATAAACACACACCTATATATTTGTTACGGTTCAGTGACACAAATAGACATGCTCATTAAATATTATTTTACATAAAGTGTTATAATTGAATGAATTGCATTGTTTTTTTTTTGTTTGTTTTTTGTACAAATTCAGAATAAAGAAAATATGTATAAAATTTGCTTCCTAGCATTCTCTTTCTAACACAATGTTTAGGTTTGACTGTAATCATAATGCAAAAACTAACACTTTAAATCACTATTAAAAAAAAATCTAAAACTTGATAAGAAATAGTATTTGAGATTGTTTAAATATATGTTGAAATCCACCTATAACAAAAAAAAAAAATAAGTAAACGTGTCCATGAACAGCTGGGGAATTCACATGCCTCTCCATAGAGAACTGTACATTTCATCTAGTGGTTACAACATGGTTCTACGCTTTCTTTCCATACTCTTACCAGATGGCGCTAATCTGCCTTCAAAAATTTTTTTTGGAAGGCCTAGTCTCTATTTTAACCTAAAATACTGCTTAAAAAAATAAAATAAAAAATGTATATATAAAAAAAAGTTTGTATTATTTTCAATGGCAAAAATGGACCATAAATATTGCATAAATATTAATAAGTAACATCAAATTGGCTCAAAATACAAAATTAAAAAGAAAAAATATAACTGAAAAAAAAATAAATTGCATTGGTTTTACTGGGATGGAGAAAGTTTCATTTTTAGGTGTCCGGTCACTTTTGACCGGGAAGATAACAAGTGTGACTCCGAAACGAAGGCTAGTGATTACACCATGATTCTACGCTTTTTCTCTATACTGTAACTAGATGGTCCTAATTTTCTTCAAAAAAATTTTTTTTTCTGAAGGCCAAGACTCTATAGTATACTAAAATACTGCATTCATAATTAAAAAAAAAAATTATATGTATATTTAGAAAAATATATATACTTTTCCATGGCAAAAATAAACCATAAATATTGCATAAATATTAATAAATTCAATCAAACTGTCTCAAAATACTAAATTAAAAAGAATAAATATTATAGAACAAAAATAAATTGCATTGGTTTTACTGGGATGGAGAAAGTTTCATTTTTAGGTGTCCGGTCACTTTTGACGGGAAGATAACAAGTGTGACTCCGAAACGAAGAGCACCTGAGGGTTAAATATCGCTGTCGATATGTCCTCAATTTTAACGCGATATGGCTCAGCTTGTTAGTGAACTACGGCTCTTTGTAGTAAATGCCGGTCCATCTGAAAGCAGGTGAAGGTGATTTACTGCTAATCAAGTAACCGGCTTTACTGATTAGATGCGCATAACAATATCGTGCGATATATCGCCCAGCCCTAAAAATGTGGGTTTTTATTTTAGAAAACTATTTTATATTAATGCCATTGTTGTATTTTAATTTATTAATATATATGATGATCATGTTGACTAGACAAACTGGAGGAAACTCCAGTTAAGTTACATCACTTTAACACAAATATTCCTGATATGTGCTACAAATGTAAACAAGAAAAGGGAACTTTATTCCACTGTATGTGGGAATGCACTAAAGTTAATTGCTTTTGGATTAAAATGTTTAATATTATAAGCCAAATCATTAGTAAAGCAATTGACCCTTCGCTAAGCCACGCCCGAAAACCGCCAATGGCCAATCATGTCTTAGCAACCGTAACCGTAAGTCCCGGCGTGTCTCAATGGATAAAGGGGATGACCTCACATCTTGCCTTAGAAAAGATTACCTACTTTTTGAAAAACAAGCCAGATACCTTTTGGTCCATTTGGAAAGTGTTTTATAACTTTTTGGAGAGTCTAGATGGTGACTCATTCGTGGAATTGATGGACATTGAGAGTATATAGACAATTAGCCTATGTTATCGCTGTTTTTTTTTTTTTAATTGTTGTAATGGAAAATGGAAATGTTGTTCAAACTTGTGTGACAATTTTTGACAAATAAAATTGTTGTTTAAAAAAAAAAGAAATGGTGATCATTATTATAAGTACAATAAGTAAAACAATGTATGTTAATTAAAGTAAAACAATGTTATGTTTTGTATGATTTATAGAGTACTTATGTAATGATGAGATAACACTTATGTAAATAAAATAAAAGATTTCAGAACTAGAGACACATAAATGTAATAAAAAACACTAATATACAATCAATTTTAAAGGTGGGTATTTATTTCAGAAAACTAACTAATGCCATTTGAGAAATACAGAACATGTTTTGAGTTTCACATTGTTGAACCCAATAATTTAACCTAATAATTAGAACTGAATGCATTAAAATAGATTAATTAAATATACTTAAAATTAATAATTATTAAGCATAATCAACCCTAATTACTTTATATTAATGCCATTGCTGTCTTTTAATTTATAAATAGATTTGATAATCTACCCTAATTATTTTATATTAATGCCATTGTTGTATTTTAATTTATAAATAGATATGATGATCATTATTATAATTACATTACGGATTTTGCATAGCGTATCTCCGCCTTACCTCGTGGGTATAAAAAGGAGGACGCCGCAACATGCAGGTACGTTTCTTCGCTGAGGAGCCAAGACTGAACTCGGCTGTTCCGGTACAGCGGAAGGTGGCAGGAAGACGGAACGTCTCCCTTCCCTACTCAGGGAACTAGGGTTACATACATAACCGAGACGTTCCCTTTCGTTGTCACTCCGAGTTCCGTCGGACAATGACGAATGGGGATACAAGTCTAATTACACCACCGTCACAGCGGTCTTCCAGTGCCCTGCGTAAATCTGAGATCCATGACGTGAGACTGGCACGGACGAAC